ATAAACACATTTCTGGTGATGTGACGTTGTTGGTATCAACAGTAAACACCTGTGAGTCTGTTTTTATGTTTGCATGTTTCAGCGTGTTTCGCTTCCTACCCACAGGGCGTTAACTAAACTTACGACTATTTCAAAAAGGTCGTAAAATTGCCATAATTTTTGCGTATTAGCTGACCTTCACTAGTTAATTTAATTAATTTCCCGGCAATTTTGCGTCACTCCGACCTCATAATCGTAGTTAGAAAAACGACTGATGATAAATGACAATAAACACTGCAAAAGACTCCATGTGCAGACGAAAGGGTACAGTTACGGGCTATAAGGAGAAAAGTTCTTTTCCTTTGAGTATCAAAGAAACAGGTAAATGTCAACAGGAGGTAAGTGGACAAAAGTGTTAGCAGAGGTCGTTACGTTTGCCGTCCTATCTTCACCTGACAAATTCACTTAATCCAAATTCTCCCCACGACAATAAAACCAACCCGGTTAGTTGTTCGGAGTGACAAAGTTGCAGACAAGTCCTCCCTGCTTACGGCGGAGTTTTAAGTCGAGAAATCAGCGACGGAAACTTTGTACCGTATCATTTGCAGAACAAGTGGCTGAGAAAAAGTGTATTCTCCAGAGTCGAGTCGTGGGTTGCAAAAGCAAGTCACAATATTTTACAGAGAAATCAGTTTCTAACCGTACATTAGTAAGTAAATTGGGAAACATGGAGGCCAATAGTCGTTAACCACTGCGACTTTTCCTAACGCCTCACGCGCTCAGATATTTGTCTTATGCCTGATCTCACGGAAATAGCCCTTGGAACTGAAAAGACCGAAGAATGATTCGTACAAAGGTGTAACTTGGCGGTGTGTCTACTCGTTATTTTGGTCCGTCGGTAAAAGCGAGGAAAAAAGATTGATAAATTGCTAGACCGTTATGTGACATCGGTCGCTTCATGATGTATGAAGGCTAGCGACGACGACAACGATGGGATCAATGTCGAAACGCATATCCTCAAATAAATTCACAAAGTAAGACGACGTTTCCAGCACAGTCAAGATCCGAAGTCAGCAGTTATTGCCATACAGGCTTGAACTCTTAGGGATGAATTTCGGTGGGCAGAACAGAATTCGCTCAATAAAAAGAGACCTGAAGTGGGTCACACGCATTCCCAACAACAACCTTTATCGCAGTATTGACAGGTGCATACCGTGACAGTCGTCAGGATATGGACGTTAACTGCCCAATTGACACAAACTATTTGTCGTCTTCTTATGTAAGCCGCGCTGAAGGCGCTTATATGCGACATCCGGTTCGCCGAGTATTTTGTATTGAACATCAAGACTAAGACGAACCCGCAGATAAGTATGGGTCATTTTACCTGCGAGTTTGTATACTTCGGACTAATCATCGACAGGGGAAACAGTTTTAATTCCGCGACCGGCGCTTACAATAGAATATACTAAATCCACGCTAAGCATTCCCGCCAATGGACTTTAGAGCTGAGCATTGTCTGTTACGTGAGTTGCATCCTTCCTCATGAACCATGAAAATCTGTGAATTGGTTCCTTCTGCTTTTGTTAAACACGGGATTAAGCAAATCATTGACATGGCCAATTCATCCCTTGCTGTCAAAACACGACCATCAGTGGTAAAACATCGTCCACTGTCCCCACTTTATCATCGTTTTCTAAAGCAGATTCCTATAGATGGGACGCTTTTATTCTCACGAAAGTAAATTCACCGCTAGCACACACTACAATTATCATATGTAAATAAGTCGATGACGACATGTTTCGCATGAGAACGCACATTTCGGAAAACACGTTGGTTTAACCAGACACCTGCGAATACATCTTAGTGCGGCTGAATGGCCAGTACCTGGAATCCTAGACAAAATCCGCCCCGCCTGTCCTCCCTGTCTATACCTCCCATGCAAATTCAGTCACTTCACGAGTCTATCCGGTTCGCGGTAGCAATCGACAACACGTCACGTATCACTCATAGAAAATTAAAAAAAATATTATTCTTCAAGTTTGCCGTGTAAAACATACCACCAGGTGTTAGGGGATGCAGATGTGGCCAGTTTTGAGCGTGCGTCGTGGGTCATGCCATACAAACGGTGACTGTTCTTCACAGTCTTTAGTTGGCGGCCGATTCTCATCTGTGGCTCCCCGAAGCTAGGCACTGCCAAGCCACCACACCCCGGCAACCGCCTCGACAGACAGGCTAAACGAGAGGAATGTACGCGGTGTTGTGTTTCTCCACTCTCGATAATTCTTTTCTCGTTCCTATACCTCACTCCTGCCTTTCTTTGCCTCCCCCTTCCATTTTAAATGTCCTACGGAGAGTATGAAGTGCAATCACTACGCGGCCCGTCCTTCTTTAGTTTGCTCTTCACTGGATGGAGTTGGGACTTATATTCGAGTTCGGAAGCCGTCCAGGATGCCGCAGAAGCCCTATTTAATGATATCACTGTTCAGCTCCCGCTGAGAAAGGGTTAGAAACGGCGCACTAAACAACAAAGAACGACAGCAGCACTCGTCTTCTTTTCCTCTGCCTCACCCAGCAGGCTCCTTTGGTGAGCAAGCTCTTTCTGGCAGCTTTGAATGTTCGTTCTCAGTTGGACAATCCGAAGAGCAACCGACCGGAGCGGAGGACGGCGTTAGTCGCTCGGGTACTGGCTCGCTACTAGGTGTGCATCGACGTTCTCAGCAAGATCCGCCTCTCCGAACAAGGCCAACTAGCGGAGGTGGGTGCCGGTCACAACTTCTTTTGAAGCGGCCGTCGGAAGGCAGACCGACGTGGCACAGAACTCGCCTTTGCCATCCGAAAGGACATCGTGGGACAACTGCGAGGCATCAGCGACCACCTTGTTACCCTGTGTCCGTCCCTTCGGGAAGCCAAAATCTCCATCATCGTCAGTATCGACGCCCTCCTCCAAATAACTAGCTACGCCGAGGCGAAATCTGAGTTTAGTGAGTACCTGCACGCCCTCCTTACGAGTTTGTCAGAGGGGGCAAGCTGGCTGGCCTTGGCAAATAAGACGCCGAGCTCCGATTGTAATCCCAAGGGAGACTACTCAGTAAGCGACCACCAAGAAAGTTAAGTACTGTGGTGTTAATTTTGTTTGTCCAGCCCTAACATTGCAGCAGTTAGTTATTTTAGCCATTCTAAGAACTGCTGTCTCCGTGCGGCAAAGCCGCAGCGGAGACTTGGCGGTGTCAACTGCGGAATGATATTCAATTCCCTGCATTGGAGGTCCTCTGACGCGTACATCGTCAACGTCAAGACTGGTTTGACGAAAACCGCGTAAATATCAGAAACCTGTTCGTCGAAAATCACATACTGCACAATGCGTACATTGGCCGTCGGACTGTCGCTAGGAAAGCGACCACCTTCAGATTTTGCCGCGTAGTGCAGCGTGAGATGCACTCTGCCTTGTCGAGGAGGTCCAGAGGCATGCGGGTCACAGTGAAATAAAGAACTTGTTTGCAGCAGTCGAGGCACTCTACAGTCCCAAAACCAAGGGAACGGTGCAACTTCTCACCTGCGATTAAGAAATCACAAATTTTCTTTGAAGAAGGAGACACGATCGCCGGGACAAGAGCTTTATTAGCCTGACGTTTCGGATTCCTACTCGAATCCATCATCAGAGACAAAAAATCAGAAACGGGTGGTTGTTGCACAAGGGGCTGCGGTATTGATAGGATGCAGTAGCCATGCTACCGCATACCTATGAACATTCACGGCTCCTCCCCTCATCCGGGATCGTCGCAATTGGTGTGATCATTGCTTGATGGCCGACATTCGAGTGGATAATTGCTACAATTTCATCACGTGCGTTCGATGTTGGCGTGATGATTGCTCGACCATCTGACGCAGCAATTATCGACTCGAATGTCGGCCAGCAAACAATGATCACACCACGTGCGACGATCCCGGATGAGGGGAGGAGCCGTGAATGTTCATAGGTATGCGGTAGCATGGCTATTGCATCCTATAAATACCGCAGGCCCTTGTGCAACAACCACCCGTTTCTGCTTTTTTGTCTCTGATGATGGATTCAAGTAGGAATCCGAAACGTCAGGCTAATAAAGCTCTTGTCCCGGCGATCGTGTCTCCTTCTTCAAAATTACTTCCTGGGACTCGTCTCTTCGCTTCTATTGACAAATCACAGATTCTAAAGAACAAAACAGAGCATTTCAGAAGTGTCCTCAACCCCCATTGACGATTTTCGTATCCGCCAACGACCGGCTCGTTCAAGTGGAAACTAATTACGATCTGAACCCCCACCTTTCCTGCCAGAAACAGTCAGAGGCGTGCATCAATTCTCCAACGGTAAAGCACAGGGAGCCAACCCGATCCCGGCCAAAGTTTAAAACCATGACCACCGACGGCTGATGGAAAAATTACAATGTCATTCAAGGGGATTAGCCGCCGAGAACAAATTTCTTAGGATTTCAAAGATGTGACAGTCGTCTACTTCTAGAACGAGAAAGGGAACCGTCAACTCCGTGATGATCACAGAAACGCCTCGGTTGCTTTCATCGTCCTCAACCATCTCAACGGCTATCTAGAAAAGGTATCTCACCAAGAAAGCTACTGTGGCTTTCGACGACACTGTGAAACCATCTAAATGATCTTCTCCGCTCGCAATCGGCAACAGAGGTGCCAGGAGACGCGGGTTCGCCTTCAGACTATTTCTGTGCACCTTAAAAAGCCTTCGATACGGAGAATCTCGAAGGGCCTTGGAAAGTCATGTAAATATTCGGCTGTCCTGAGCGATTCACGCACACGGTATGTTAGCATCATGATGGGATTATAGCGTACGCCACGGAGAATGTGTCAGTCTCAGAAACATCCACAGTAACCAGTGGTATGAAACAGGGATGTGTACTCTCCCCCGCACTCCTCAATCTCATGTCCTCTGCCATGCAAATCGACGCCATCCGTGATGAGTGCCCAGAATCGGCACCGTCTTCCGCACCGGCAGCCATCTTCGTAATAACCGGCACATGTTGACCACAACGCGTCTCTCCATGTCCACTGTCTACGATCTGCTCTTCGCGGACGACTACGCGCCCAACACCGCGACAGATGCAGACACCGAACGTAACATGAATCTCTTGGCCTTCGACTGCGTCAACTTTGGGTTGACCAGCAACACGGACAAGACGGCGGTCATGCATTCGCCGCAACCAAATGCTGCATACGGTGCTCCTCGCACCCACGTCAACAGCACCACACTGAAACCCACGGACAACTTCGTATATTTAGGCAGCACATGCTCACGCTGCACCAAAGTCGAAGATGAAGAGATTCACCGGATCTCGAAAGTCAGCTAGACCTTAGACCAGCTGCAGGACGCAATATGGAATAGTCACGACTTAATCTCAACACCAGCCAAAACTGCTATCTTGATGTCCTGCTGGGATGAAGAAAGTTCTAAACAACCTACAGAAAATTCAACCATTCCAGCCTAGGTTGTCTTTTGAGGGTCCTAAATCAGAGGTGGCAGAACAGTGCCGTAACACAAACGTTTTGGAGCGAACCGGAGTCCTTTGCATCCGCACCATGCTGAGGCAACCACAATTGTGGTGGAGCACTCGCCGACTCATCTATCATTACTGTCACTGCCTTTAACACTGGCGATTCGGTCCCAACCCGTCCTCATTGCTATCGCACATTCATCCCACGCATCGGCCCTGTCAGTCACTTACGACGACCGCCGCACCAGTGCCAGATATCCCCTACATACATTCTTAAATTCGCCTTTACTGTCCAGGGACATTCTCCTACCACCTACGTTCACACAGTCACAGGCGTATCGACGAGTGCGAACTCACCATAATGTCAACATGTCAAGCACAACTTGTACGTCCAACAACTCTTATATCTCCAGCTGCATCAACTCCCCATCCAATAGTGTGGTCACTAGCGACATAACATCCCTCAGCATCTCTCAGCCTGTCTTGCTCATATTGCCACCGCATATGCACGTCAGGCGTTGGGCTTACATGTCATTTGCGACTTTACCGCACGGAGACCGAAGAACCAGTGTCTGAAACACCAGCACGCACAAACCGTACGCGCCTCAACGGTCCACACTGCCCTCACACATTCAAACATCTCATGAGTGTACTCGGTAACATACGTCTCCGTAAGCATCTGCGCCAAATCGCCACAGAATAGTCCACACCATACACCTGTCCGTTAACACACGCAACACACATGAACACCTTCAACATCGTGCAAAGCAGACACTTCTAACCTAAGCGACAAGCATGTTTTTTCGACTCCTTCTTCATGTGGCTTCTTTGTTGCATGTGAGATCTGAGAAGTTTAACGTCCCTGCGTGTGAAATACTGGTGTGTGTGTCATTGGGTTAGGTCTTGTGTGAACGTGATATGTTCCTAGTCCTGGCAGCTATCCTCCTACCCCCACACTCAGCGCCAGTTTTTGGATCGGTTCTGATAGTCGTCTGATGCATATGGAGGGTTAGAGAGAGTGAGGTAGGCTGTCAACTCAAAAATCCTTAGCACAAACTGTCCGAAGCGCTTGAGACTATCGTCGGGCGCCAAAAGCCGTGGTTTGTAAGTGACACTTCAGTTCAGGCTTCGCGGTCGGCCCACAGAGTGCTTGCATAGAATGGCCAACAGGTGGACTATCACACAGGCTGCAATGACTTTTTCTTGATTTTGCCTGTATTCACTCCCTCTCGATCGGGACCGAGTCGCACGCACCTTTTCCTTTTTGTTGTAAATACTTCTGGTCAGCGTACGTCATGGACTGGGGGTGTAGTCCTATGTATAGGCGCAGGTTTTCGTCGTCCCAGTTGCCTGTTTTCTCTCCTAACTCCGGTCTTCTTGACTGTGTCATAACACCAGTCGCAGAGGGAGGAGAGGTTGCGTTAGATACTGTGCGTTTCAACCGTCACTATTGCGTAATTTACATGCAATTCACTGTCGCTGCTCCCACCCTGCTGTAGGGCATACGGTGGGCATCTTCGGAAATGACGATCGCATTTCCTCTGTCCAAAGAAATGGCCAGGCGGCTAGGTTCTAACGTCCGAATGCGCAGGTTTGCGATGAGTTTCTAAAGGAGATCTCCCTTGGATGCTGCACATTATTTCTTCAGTACGCATTAGTTTGTGACTACGCGGTGTAGATTGTAATTTATTAATTTGCTTACCAACAGGATGATTGTGTCATACTCAGGACTTGGCTCGGGCTTAAGTGCCCTTCATTTTATTATGATTTGTCACTCTCCTATAATGGAGGTTAGGATAGTCCCCTCTCTATTTGTTGCAGCAGATCATGCGTGGCAGGAATGGTTGGAAGTTTAGATCTTCTCAGCTCTACCCTTAACGCACACCTCAATTCGCCCCGACTTTTTCCTATTGTTGGAGCACAGCAGACGTGGGAAGATGGACATTGGGTAGATTTCGGCGCAAGTTTTCTCCCAAACCTGTTTGATTTTATCTTTCCCCAGGTGCGTTTTTGGCAGATCGAACTGCTTAAAGCAAAACTGATCGTCATATTGACGAGGAAAGAATGATCAAGCGGCAGTCTGACTTATCATCAGATCTCACGTAAACATTCGCCTCCGAGAGTCCTGGAGCCAGATCCAATTTTCCGACTCCACGGGCTCTGCTTTTTGCCCGTAAACAATATACAGTCATTTGACTGGAAAGCCAACATCATGTGTTGTTCACAAGAAATAAACCGCGTTTCCAGAGAGATAAGGCACTGTGGTGCTGAATTAAGTCTTTAGTTAAGTTTCGACTTTTCCTCCTCTTTGTCTTGGTTAGTGAGATGTTCTAGGTGGATGCGTGTAGTGTGTTTGCGCCAACTGCTCACCTCACTTAAACGACGCCCACTCAAGAGTCGAGGAGTTTTCGTCTGGATTGTTGTTATTAATCCCAGGCCCGGATATAATCAGTTCTCGATTGATGATAAATTGTGCGCTACGTTTTCTCAGTGACTGCGAACTTCAGCACTTGAGGGTACCGGACCAGAGTCATTCACTTGCACATCTGCGCTTACCCAGCAGAGACAATCCAAAGCCTTTTCACAGAGTACAGACACAAATGAAATTCTTTTCCAACGTCAGTCTTGAAATTCACACAATTCGGGGCAGGAATCGTTGATAGATATTCTGACTGTCTGCTGGTCCAAGGCTTTTTATTGTCTTTCACGTCCATTCGGTGTTGAAAGGACCTGTGACAGCGTACGCGCGGCTATCCGTGTGACTGTTATCTAACCTATGCAGCTGAAGGCCTGAACAACGAGCGGCTCTGGACTCGACAGAACGACAACGCGAGTTCGATCGATAAGTTGGCTATCGGCGATTGACTGCAGACGACCACGACAAAGGCCTTTGTGCTCCATTTAGTTCGTCTGTAGTGCCACCGTTGGCTCCTGGGCTGTTTGTGCGTTTCCTCCCACAACAGCGGCGCTGTCTTAATGACATTTGATTTTGGAAAGCTGGTGGTGTTGGCCATCTCAGTCCGTCGAATCAACCTATAAAAGGCATTTTGATATCTGTCAGTCCCGAAACTATATGCGCGTGGCAAATCTCGCCACATCTAGGAGCAGTATCTGCGCCGATTTCTAGAAAACGTGAGTCCCTGGTTGTTTTGAATAGAAGCGGATAAGAACTAGTATCGGACCGTTTTATTTCTGTGACGTGTTCTCACACTTCCAAAAAAAAAACAGTTGTGTGATTTGCCCGTAGTCGAAAACCGTGAATGTTGGGAGACCGATAATTTTATATGTCTGGGGCGAAAGCCCCACTTTCCAGCTGCTCAGAATGTGGACGCAGTGGCCAATGAAAATAAGTAGCTCGTACGTGGTCGACATGCATGACCTCGTAACTAACTCAACATGTTCAGTACCTGAAGGGAGGCGGCGCTATGACCTCACGCAAATGCGCGCAGAAAGGAAATCTTAGTTTACGGTAAGGTCGAGTTGCCCGTCATCTGATAACCTTGCAAACTACAAGTTATCGTCTGCAAAAAGCCCAAGAAACGCACTCCTATTTACAATTAAGAGATGCACGCCGGATCAGAGCGGGATCGAAAGCACGATTCGCCTTTATCTATTGTGTAAAAGAAGGCGAAGGCACGATCACTGGGACAGTAAGTTGTGAACATTTATATCGTTCATCCTTGCGGGGGCGGGAGGGGGAGTACGTCCGTGGCTAGGTAGGGTTTGTGCCGCCTGGTCCACGATGTTCCCCCGGCGTGGTGACGCCATTTGCACTTCGCGACGGTGTGAGCTGCGCCACCTGGCTGCGTGGGCGGAGCGCGTGATAACACGCAGGCAAATCGATGTGTCTGTTGATGGAGTTGGTGTCCGACACCCACGCCTCCAACAGCTCTCGCCCTGTCTTGTTGCCGGCTCGCGCCAATATCCGCGTGTTGGCGAAGTCGAACTCATGCCCTTCCTCGAGCGTGTGAGTGGCTACTTGAGACAGTGGGTCGCCTCTCCGAACGGCCCGTTTGTGCTCAAGTATTCGTGAGCTCAGACGTCGTCCTGTCTGGCCTGTGTAGTGGCAAGGACAGTTTTGGCACGGGATTCGATAGACTACGCCCGACTGTTCACCTGCGTCCAGCCGATCCTTCATTTTCATGATCCTGCTACGCATGGTGGCCGCCGGATGATGAGCGATGCCCACGCCTAGCTCTGACGCGATGCGTTCTGTAGCCTCGGACACATTCTTTATGTACGGTAGGGAGTGCCAAGTTGTTGGTGTCTCTCTTCCGTTTGTCCGGCGTGGGTGTGCGCGTATGCAGCGACTGATAAAGCTTTTTGGGTAGCCGTTCTTTGTTAATTGGTCCCCGAGATGCCCTAGTTCTTGCATCCTTCCTTCGGGCTCGCTACAGTGCGTTTTTACCCGGTCGAAAAGCGCCCTCACACAGCCCCGTTTGTGCACCAATGGGTGGTTGCTATGATAGTTGAGGACCTGGGTTGTATTGGTCGCCTTTCTGTACACTGTAGTGCTGAGTTCACCGTCAGGTGTGCGCGTGACGAGCACGTCCAGGAAGGGCAGTTTTTCGTCCTCCTCGTCTTCTCTTGTAAACTGAATGTCGGGGAATATGCTGTTAAGTAGGTCTTGGAAACCCGATAGCTTGTCCTTTTCAATAATGACGAATGTATCGTCCACGTATCGGCGCCAAAACGCAGGTTTGTAACGGCCGAAAGCAACCTTTTCAAGCTCTTGTAGGACCAATTCCGCAACTAGGCTGGATATTGGGGAACCCATGGGTGTTCCTTTGATTTGTTTGTATGTTCTGCCATCGAAGGCGAAAAAGGTTCGTTGGCAGAATGCAAAGAGCTGCATTAGGTGCTGGATCTTTAGCGGCCCTGTCGTTTCGTTGTACTTTTCTTCGAGGCGTTTGCGTAGCACGTCGCGCGCCAAGTCTGGTGGGATGGACGTGAAAAGTGAGACAACGTCGAAGGATACCATGATTTGGTCGGGTTGAATAGTTTTTCCCCGAATGCTGGCAAGGAATTGGGAGGCTGAATTGACGGACGTCACAGAGTCCTCTCGGAGAAAATTGAGCTTTCGGGACATCCATTGGGCTAAATTGTATGTGGGGCTGCCTTTCAGGGCCACGATTGGCCGCAGAGGAACGTTGGGTTTGTGTATTTTTGGTAGTCCGTAGAACCTGGCCAACGCCGTGTCGGTTGGTTTTGTCTGGCGCCATTCGTCTGGCGAGATTACATTGTTACGCCGGAGTCGGCTTAAGAGTCCAGTCAGCTTTTAAACAAGAACCTGGGATGCGTATATTCTCTTCCATTCGTTATCTATTGTGTCTTTATCTCTTTCCTGGCCGACACGACTTGACCAGACATGAGGGTAGGTGTTGGGGTAGGCGTGTTGCAAAACGTTTCTCTAACGAGTGACACGCACTGATTCTCATGATAAAAGAGACAACAATAAGAAAAGGTCGTCCTCCTTTGTCCGCAGTCCAACAGAGATCAGAGATAAAGTGGAGGTCGTTAGCACATGAATACACCAGATCTAGTGCCCTGTGAAAGGTATAAGCGCCTCAAATCGATTAAAGGAAGAAATGCGCTTAACTGATGTAAGCAGAGACATCTCAGACTTTTTAACGCATTTCGTTGTCACATGTAAAGTGTACATGTACGAACCTGTCCACCAACGGCTAATGACGCGAGGAGATAGCTTGGTGTTCTGCAAATCCGCCGACTGACGAATTCCATTCCCACAGGTTACAACACATGACGAATGGCGACAGCGCAGCCGAGGTGTACAGTAAACCAGTTTGACTCAATTTGGCTGCGCGCAACAGCAGATCAGAACGTTTGGAGGAAGAAAACACACATGTTAGTAGACTACTTTCAAAATGATGCAACTCACGTAACAGACAATGCTCAGCTCTAAAGTCCATTGCCGGGAATGCCTAACACGGATTAAGTGTATTCGATTGTAAGCGCCGGTCGCGGACTTAAAACCGTTTCCCCTGTCGATGATTAGCCCGAAGTATACAAACTCGCAGGTAAAATGACCCATACTTATCTGCAGGTTCGTCTTGGTCTTCATGTTCAATACAAAATAATCGGCAAAATGGAGGTCGTATATTTGCGCCCTACAGATCTTCAGCGCGGTTTGAATAAGAAGATGGCAAATAGTTTGTGTCAGTTGGGCAGTGACCGTCCATGTCCTGACGACTATCACGGTGTGCATCTGTCAATATTGCGATAAAGGTTGTTGTTGGGAATGTCTGTGACCCACTTCAGGTCTCTAATTATTGAGCGAATTCTGTTCTGCCCACCGAAATTCATCCCTAAGAGTTCAAGCCTGATGGACAAGAACTAATGCTTTCCAAGCTTGACTGCGCTGGATACGTCCTCCTTCGTAGTGAACTTCTTTGAACGTATTCGCTTGTCATTGACTTTAGAATGCGTCCGAGGAATCCGAGTTATCTGCTGTGATTTTATGTCTAGCCCCATATTATCTTATCCTTTAGATTTTGGACGTTGCTTATGGGGTATATTTCGTGGTTTCCATAGATTGCAAAATCCCATCCGTATTATTCGTTTTTTTCTTAACTTCATAGCGGAACGCGTGGCTTTCCTAACACGGAATGACCGAAACTTGTAGTTTGAATACCATTAACGCAATTGCATCGGTGGCTCGGCCCAAAGATTTCTAGATAATTGAGAAACGTTTTTGAGACCCAGGGTCATCACTTCTTCCAAAATACAGTTTAATACATTATTCGCTACCAGTTGAGTAAGAGAAAGAACATTATCGTATGTGTTTTCTTATAAGTTTATTTGAATTTGTAGGCGTCGAGGATAAATCGCGAATTTTAATACTATTCATTCACTTTTTGTGGGCACCCGAAACTAAGTGCACTCCAAAACTGGTATTCTGTCAGGAAGTAAAAGTTAAGTACTGTGTTGTATTCTAATTAATATTATAACACCTAAATAAATATTTCAGGCACAAATCGCATTTCAGAAAACTCAATTAAATGTCTTCTAGGTACGCCATCTAGTGTATATACGTACTTGCAAATACGCGGATATCATGACTAGTAAAAACTGCCTTCTATAACTCTTTCGTGGGAATCAAAAGACAGACAACGAAGCGGGCAAACACAAAGATCTTACTCATTTAAATACTTATTTTTAAGAGTAAACTGTTGACTTGATCTAGTTATTTGCCAGTCTTGAAGTCGGTCCTAAGATCCTTGGAGCCCATTTTTATAGAATGCTAGCTCTATGTGGGTCCACTCCATTTGATACAGCCGAAAAATTACCGAGGACAGCCATATATCGAATGTCAGTCATTGACACTTGACCTTTTTAGGCCGCCGATTTACAGCGTTGACGGACATCCATTGGTCTGAGGAAGGGGTCGTGTGGCCTTTTGTGTCAGTGAATCCACACACGAACTCACCGAACCTCGGCATCCGTATGCTTGTCGAGAAATTGAGTATGCAGGTAGGGAGCTTGTCTGCCATTCACATGCCTCTCCGTAGAACGTTATGCAGGTGCAAAAAGTTATTGGAGCGCTGGAGGCAAGTACGCATAAACGACAAGTGGAATAAAAAGTCTTGAAGTTTGTTGTCATGGCCATTTTTTCAAACTCCGTAGTTTGAGGCTATTGTAATATTTATCACCCGGAAAATGAAGTCAGCGTTTTTAGCGGTCGTGCCGTTTAAGTAAGCCCTATGTTCTGTGAAGTGGACGGACATCTGTTTCATCACCCATATGACGGAGCGCTAAATAGAACTGTAAGTTGTGACTGAAGGGCTGGATCTCTAGCGTTTTCCACCAACGGTTTTCGAACCACCGTGTGATCCTTGTGGCCTACTGATCCATGCTGCCGGAAGACTTATTATTGGCGAATTTTCATACATTTTTGGAGAGAAATAAATTTCTGATTATCAGTGCTTGACCGTGAATCAATGAAGTGAATAACCAGAGACGATTACTTTGATTGAAAGAAAAATTAAGAAAAACAGAGAGTCGCTGCCAAAGAAAGGCTTTAGTATTCATTACACGAACCCCATCGGGAATTAGGCCATTCTATTTCTATGGTTTGACTTGAGAGCAATTTTCCATGTAAAGTGGACGTTTGACCCTCGCTATGGTGGTTAGGATCTCAATCGATCCCATTCTGTCCGTCCGCCAGCTTGCTACCGGCGACAACGAACGCTGTCATAGGACACATACCACATATAATACATGAGCAGCTCGCTAAGAGTGCAACAGGCCAGACGCAGACAGCCGTTTCAAGGTCGTTACCGATCATCAGTACGTCATAGGTCATGTTGTCCAAGGACGATGGATCAGGTGGCCAGACGACAAATGGTGATAACAACATTAACTCTCACCAACAGCACCAGTGCGGTTTGCCGAAAATATGACGGAATTCTGTATATCGTAATTTTGAGTCGAATCTGACCTGCCGACAAATAACTATTTCGGAAGTTGCCTAGCACAGGAGGATTGCACCGAAGAAATATTGAAATTTTTTGTCTTTGAGTATCCCTTTTGCCAGCTCGACTTTTCGGGATCTAGTTCTTAAGCCTGCCCCCTGTTCGCAGTCGTGCGCAAATAGAAAGTCTCACTCTGTGTCCGGACAGCATCAAGCAGACAACCTGATCTTAGCTACAGCGCGTGACGATCATCACAGTGGAAATGGGTGCAAAACAGCCTTCCAGTCCTCTTTAATTCCCTTCTACCAGCTATAAGTTAATTAGCATTCCGTTAGGCAACCGAGCAGTCGTCTGAAAGGTGGGAAATTTTATTTCCTAAGATGTTTTAGCCGGAACGATGGCAAGTTTGATACAAGCTAGATAAGGCAACTGACAGGAAGCCAAACCAGCAAACTCACTGACAGAACTGAAGTAACAAACGTATCATACGGTGTCATATTGGGCAATCGGCATGAAATACGGCCAGAGTACAGGTACCAGCTGTCTTTCCTTATTCCCCAGCCATAAATTATTTCCATTTAAATTCCAATCGCAAACATTTTGAACGTTGTCTGATTGTCAGCTTCGTCCATCGTTTCCCGATCCAACTTAGGGCATTTATTTTTGTTAAGGTTGCAGCCATGATGCCTATCAAATTGCTTCTGTTAGCTAGCACGTGGTCTTAGAACGGCAGGTAGACATTCTGGGCTGCTGGTAGTAGTGAAGAAGGTACTTTAAATCCGCAAGTTCTGATAAGGTGTCTTTTAATAAACTTTTGCAGATGCGCAAATTTCCACCTTCTTATAACCCTATTAGATAGAAGTGCACTATTTCGCAGGAATGGGAGATTTTGTCGCTCAGTCTGAGAGTTTTAGTGTGCTGGTCGGGAAAAGTGAATATTAATCAGCTACTGTAGCTGACTAAAAGCTCAGAAGTAAAGCACCGAATATTGGAGTCACTTACAAGCTTCGTTCACTGCAAACGACTTCAAGCTATGTGAATCATTTATTTTCCATATTTTGTTTTGATAAAGTGTCTTGGGCCTAGAGAATTTCTGACGGGATTTGTAGAAGCGTGTGGTAGTTCCATAAGTCAGATACTTTATCGTTCACATGAGAGGTGACTGTATAATAACAGTAAATTCGTAGTATCCCGTCGCTCTAAAGTAGTTTTGGTTAAATCAGAACCTCAACGACTTGAAACTCCAAATTCTAGGAGCAAGAGTTCGGTTATCCAAATGTACTAATAGAATGTTTTATACCTCTATCCCTTCAGGCATGCCCACCAGTGACTTGCCTGTGCAGTTGTTCTTGATGAAACAGGCATTCGCCGTACCTGTCACACATTCTCCCCACACCTACCCTGCTCCCAGCGAAAAACAGAGTCAGGATGGCTGGAGGTGGGAGTGGGCACAGTGGTTGACATAGCCGGTCTGTCTACGTGTGCCACACACGACCTCCTACGTGCTGCAGGTGTGAAAGGCTACATTTAGTAAAAATGTACCCGATCACACGTAGATGAGGACAGCATTAACACTGCATTAAGCAGTCACTGCAGTCTGACCGCCGGTGCTTAGAAGAACGTAGATATCCCGTCCCTTGGCGACTTTCCAATTACT